CCCCCCCCCTCCACCCATCGGTAGTTGAATGGTAGATAAAGTCATGTCAAACGCTACGTCACGCTGGCAAAAATATACACGATGCTTCTGACGTCGTCCAAACTTCATCCATGTTTGAAAGGAAAGAAAAAAAAAAGCAATTGAAATTTGCCCAGGTACACCCTCCTACGACACATTCACACGTCTCTGACTCACACATGAAAGCGAAGCGCCAATCAAAACACGCTAGTTCTAGAACTAGGTGGGAGATGCACACATGCCCCATTTTAAGTGTGTGTGTGGGGGGGGGGGCGGTCAGTGCGGGTTTTCCCGTCCAGATAATATATCTGACTTGGGGTCATTTTCACAAAACGCAATCCATACTACGTGCTTTTAACATTCCCTCATATTTAACGTCTAGTGGGAATAGACTTGTCAACATGACACGACTCTAATTAAAAGAGAGGATAACAAAGACCAGCGTCTGTGGTGCAGCGGTTAGGCGCTTCACCATCTTAGTAAAAGACCAGGGTTCGATTCCTCTGTATGCGGAGGACTTTTATCGGGTATCTCGGTCTTTTGGCTGGAACGTTGTATCCCTCTTAGCCCGGGTTGGCAGGGCCAAAGCCTGCCTCCTAGATTGTCTAAAATGTGAAACCGAAGCGTAAATTATTCAAAACACCTCAACAAAGGACTGATGTTATACGCGACAGCTGAAGAGATCTCTCTTAAATGGTATGGGTTTTAAACCTCTATCAACACTATCATGTTAAGTAAGAGACAGGACCTCCGAGTTTAACATCCATCTCCGAAAGGACTGAGCCAAGTGGTAAATTCGTGTAAAGTGCCTTTCCCAAGGACACAACGTCGTGAAGAGATCCGAGTTCGTTCGCGCCAAATTCCGTGAACACGATACAATCTGATCCACTGACCCCATTCGATCAAGTAGATCCGAGAAATCAAACAATCAGCCACTCCACTTAATATAGCAGAGATAACCAGATGATGAAACATTGAAGAAGACGAGTTTTATCTACAGCTCGGAGCATGGCGCCATGTCGGGAGAGTAGCCATGACTTATTTATCAAGGCTGTACAGGGTCTACAAGAGATTTCTGCTACCCCGTGGTCGGAGAATCAATCACAGGGCGACACGCGAAATCTTCACAGCCCCCTTACCCTGTCACCATGACGACTGGCAGGCCCAATGTGTCACGACACGGTGGAATCAGATGCTCGTCAATTTTTGGGCATACGGAGTTGCTTTTGGTTTTCAGAACAATTTTGATTTATCTTGAACAGAAGTCGGAATATCTGCAACTGAAGAGTGAGGTGCCAGATGCCAACAATTTTTTTTTTTTTTTTTGGGTATCTTTGATCAACGTCTTTTAATAAAATCCATGCAGAAATATCTAAGTGGACACAAAAGGCGTTGAGCCTAAAACAAAACAGACAAACAAACAAAAGAATGAACATCGTTTTTAAAAAAAAGGGGGGGGGGGATGTTGGTTTCTCCAATTTCATTATTTTGACGAGGGCCTCATTTCATCATGAGGCCCAAATGGCTCGTGGCTTGAAACGGGGGCTTAAACTCTAACCCATCTCCAAGCGCACGAGAGCCAGCAAAAGCCTCGAGATCGATGACGTGCCAAATATGACCTTTACGTCACTTACAGTACTTTTATTAAAAGGAAGGGCGTCTTAGCCACACATCTAATCCCGATCAAATTGCTTTTGGCCCTAAATTAGGCTCGCTGTCATGGCAAACGGTAATAATAATGACAATA